GATACAGGAGTCTGTCTGTCTGACCCTCGAGCAACTGTGTCTGCTCGAGAAAAAGCGCGCTCGCCGACTGATCGATATTGTAGCTTCGGGCGCAGTCGACATTGACTTTTACGTCCTGCTTCTACCCACCTCTCCCAAGCAATGAAGGTTAAGGCTTATCAAATCCGAAGCAAGTCCGAGAAGGAGCTCTTGACTGACCTCGATGAGCTCAAGCAGAAGCTTGTCTCTTTGAGGGTCTCTAAGGCTCTCTCTAGCACTGCTGGCAAGGTCGCTGAGATCAGGGTAAGATACCACAGAATTATCATTCATGGTTTGGGGTACTCGTTACTTATTTATTGTTCTCAGACTGTTCGTAAGAACATCGCCCGTACCTTGACTGTCTACAACCAGACTAGGAAGGATGCCGTAAGTCTTCTACTCTGGAGTTCGGTAGACTCCATAATGCTATGTTCAGGCCCGCGCTTCCTTCGCCGGCAAGAAGTACGTGCCTTTGGATCTCCGCTCCAAGTTGACCCGTGCTAAGCGTCGTGCTCTTACCCCCGCCCAGTACAACAAGAAGACTGCCAAGGAGCAGACCCGCAAGGCCAACTTCCCCATGAGGAAGTACGCCGTTGCTGCCTAAGTCGATTTTCTTCGGAAGAGAGATTGATAGTCAGTCACCAAGAGTGGGAGCAGCTGGTTCGTGTCATCGCATTTTGCAGTAGCATTTTCCTGCTGTTTCTACTCGTACGGGAGACCGGAGGGCAACAGAGAGATGCCATCTTGTTGTGTTATTCCAGTGTAATCATGACTCAGAGTCTTCATTTGCATTACGATAGAGCCTATAGGAGTGTTAGGGTTGATTGATTATTACCTTCGCGGTGGTTTTCATGTTGGTATCTGTTTTACATATCACTCGTGAGATTCCGTCTACCCTAAGTCTGTTGTACTATAATCTATCGAGATACGTGTTCGCCAGTGTTTATTTCCTTGACGAGTATGTTCAACCTACAAGGTCATCGCTCTTGCCATCATATACTGTATATGATGGCAAGAGCGATGACCTTGAGCAAGGACTGTTGTATATGATATACAACAGCCCTTGGCCATCCTTGGGCAAGCTCGCTCTTCGAGCAGTTTAGATTTAATATGCACGACGATGACTCTAACTGAGCCGAAGAACGGAACGTAATCTTGAGGAATTATGTTTCCGTGAAAATTTGTTGATTTATTGAACCAATTTCAAGTGCTTGATGGGTCCTGGGGTGATGCTGTCATCGGCAATGGAGATGTTATGAGTATTGTGTTCTCACGGTTCTTGCTGTGCTCAGATCGCCCATGATGATAATGAAACGGCTGCTAATCGGTCATCACAAATTAATACTATCGAAACCTTCACCCAACTGCGGGAATTTGAGTTCTATGATACATGTCAAGATCAGCACAACGTAACCGAACTATAGTGCGCCTATATTGGTACACAAGTTCGCGATGATGCTGGAAGGGAATTCAGTGACTTCGGTTTATCCGGTTGAGAACCCGAACTAGACTGAGGACAAGGCGGTTCTTATAAATCGTCTTCCAGTAGTGTTCGATTCGAACACTTCCTAATCATGTGTTCGAACAGTTCGAACACATGATTAGGAAGTTTTGACAATTCTTCTCATGTCGATGGGATTTCCACACTCGTTATCAAATCGTAGACTGGTACATCTATGACTCCCCGAAGCGGCGAATTTAGTAGAGCAGCTTTCACTTCGCTTCGATCTCCTTGCCGAAACACGTCCAGTTTCACAACGCGTTCTTTGATCTGAGTGGGAATTAAGTTATACACGTTTAACAAAGTAGATTACACGAGCCAAACGCTATCACCAACCGCGTCGACTGGTACACAACGCTGGTTTTGACTTTTTGCATTTAGCGCGCGCCGTTCTGATCGATTTTTCTCTGCGCCACTTGGAAATGGAACGTACCCGAGTTATATGGGCACTCGAGAGGAAGGAGGAAGGTTATAATGGGTGAAGACTCCTTCGAAACCACGCAGAATTGAAGTTGATAATATAATAGTGATTACTGACGATATTATACAAGTACTTAGATTTAATGTGGAAAAATATGCACAATGTCAACTACATTGGTTAGTGACAATTGTGAAAATTGTGGGAAAAATTCTGAGCAATCCTGCCTGAAGTTGTACGCAAAGAAAGAAAACGTGGACTTGCGCTGTTAGAAGAGTATCTTGAGGGTGTCAGCGTAAGATTCAGATTAGGTCCGCTTAGTTGTATCGATCATAATGACATGTCTCGCTCGGGTTGGTGCAAGAATGGGCGTTTCTGCTCTTCCTTCTCTCGTGGGAGCGGCGCCGCCGTGGTTTATGAACCCGATACGAATGCAAGTACGATTTAAAGTCACGAAGCAACAGGCTTATGATAAACCCGGTAAGTGGTACGGGAAAATATGTCCATTATTCAACTACATGCGTTTCACGTGAAGTAGCGTAAAACTTGGTTAAACAAACGCGATTTTCGCGGTGATATGCAGTAGTCGTGAAATATGTTTTTCACGTCACTAGGGTGAAACTCCATTAATATACTTTCCTTGTTGTTTTTCAGCTGACACAAGTCCGTTCACACGGCGGTTCTCGGACAAACCTCATATAGGGATGAAAGCGCTGAGTTCGGAGTATGTGGAGGCTAGCAGAATCATTGTAAAGCAGAGACATTATATTTCGAAAAATCCGGGCTCAACACGAAAGAGGAATTTCAAGTTCTATCCGGGTAGGAAGGCTGGGGTGAGGGTAAAGTGTAGAAAAGTATGCACATGGTCAACTACATTGTGGAGTTTCACTCTAGTGATATGAAAAACACTAGTGAAAAATATTAATGATCTTTCTTGGAAGATCACTTCACATTAAATTGTAATTAAATTAAATTCGCTTTACGTCAAGGTGGCTGACTCGGTTTTACGTCATGGTATCACACTTCCCCACGACTACTACAGGAATCCGCGAATATCGCGTTTTTCACGAAGTATTACGCCACTTGACGTAAAACGGGTGAAACTACACAAATTTAAAAAATAACAGTATTAAATTGATTATAATGTAATGAATGTAAAATTTCTGGGAGGAAATTTCATGCAAATTAGCATTGCTTTTTGGTATACACCTTTACCCGAATTCATATGTAAAATTGTGTACTCCTGAGGTCAGCTGAGGAGGAAAGCGATTATGTATTACTACTCCGAGGTGATACGTTTGAGTTCTGTGAAACGGTTGAGAGTGTTTATTATTACTACATTACTATGATTTACTATTTACTATTCGAAGTGGCAGGTGAGAATGTTGTGGTGACGAAAACAACTTCTTTGAAAGCTGCAGTCAGCGGGCGAGTGAAGTATACCTATGATCCGGAAAAGGAACGATTGTGATAATACTTTCCGCGCCTTCTGGTCGTGTCTATGGCCCCTGTAGTTACGCGAATGTACTGCCAGAACCTCGGGAGGAGCTGCTGCGGGAAGGTGTGGAAATTATGGTATCGGAATATGTGCATTATGAGTGATTATAGATCTATGGCGCTATCGGACGGAGTTTATAACTAGTGTAGAAGACAACAAGTTGCTGATACAGTTGAGGCAGAAGGCGTATTGGGTAAAGTCGGTGTCCCTAGTGTTAACATGGTATGGGTCTTCAGCATATATTCCCGCGGCCGCTGGTGAACCCGCCGCAAGGAATTAGGGTTAGTCAAAGAAGGATTTGTTTGAAGTAGTGTGGGGGGAAATGTACGCATGTGTTGGTAAGAAAATGAAAAAAATTTTGAGGAAATTTTGTGAGGAAATAATGGAGTTTCACCCTAGTGATGTGAAAAACTTATTTCACGACTACTGCATATCACCCCGAATATCGAGTTTTTCACTGAGTTTTACGACGCCACTTCACGTAAAACGGGTCGTGAAACTCCAATGATTTTTGTGAACTTATATTTAAATATACGTGGTGCGTATATTGCGAGTTGAGATAGATGTTGACTTTGAGTCGGAACATGGGAGTTCGTCGAGGTACGATGAATGGAATAATCCTTGCATACGCGACCCTCTTATAATAGAGCCACATCCATACCCTTTAAAGGGAGATCAGTTGAAGCACTACGGTAGGTATTAATTAGAAAAAAGCGAATAAAAGCTACTCGAGGGTGATGAACCATCTAAGACGGTTGCATAAAAATATCAAGAAAAGTGAATAAAACTCAATGCAACAGTTGCGCATGTGTTTTCGCTTTTACTCGGGTTTTGTTCAGCACTTAAAAGGACAACTGCAAGTAACTGACCCCAGAGCTCACGAGTTCGTGGGTGAGTCGGCTCAGCGGTAAAAAGTGGAGACGACATGTGGTTTCTGTGAGAGAAATTTGTCGTGTTTGGACGAGAAACTCGATTTCGCTTCCCCTTACTTTTTTCAGGGAGGAGGTTGAGATATGTCATTGGCATCGATAGATGTTCGTCCGAGTGGCGGGGTGCAGTCGGAAGAGTTGAATTGCGGAAATTTTGGTATGAGCGCACTAGGAATAAAATCTCCTCCTGGGCCGGGCAGGCTCTCGATAGAAGCTAGTGTTTGTAATGCAAAGATTGAGTGGGAAAGAGCTGATGCTATTTCGACCTCTTCGAAGGGTACGATGATGAACGGCACAGACGAGCCGTCTACGTCCATCCACACCAGCGGGGGTGGTCAGGTAGGGGTCCAACGAGAGACGCCTTCGCCTGGGAAAAGTGGGGGAGAGGAGGCTATTGCCACTGAAGAGGAAGAGGTCTCGTCTGTGAGTAGCACAGCTCTGGTGGTAGCAGGAAGCCTGCATAGTTCTATTGTAGTAGAAAATGATGGTAAGTTGAGTACGGTATATCGTGTGGGAGATTTGGTGAAAATTATCCACGATGATGGTTTTGGTGGCGACCTGCGAGGGGCTTTCGAAGCGTCCATTTACGAAGTGCGGGGTACGTTGCTCACGGTGCGGTATATGGGAGATAATAAGGGACTGTACGACGAGACGATCGATGTGCTATTTCATCATAAACGGCTGCGGAAACACGGTGTGTTGGACTGGTCAAGGCTCAGCGTCTTTGGTAGTATTACAAAACCTCCTCCAGAAGAGTCGCCATCATCCGATTTCGCAGAACAGGAGGCGAGGGCTGAGGGCGCGATGACACTAGCATTGGTGGAATCGTGTTTGGCGGTTTTTGGGAGAACTTTGCCCGAGTTCGATAGAGGGTATATCCCTCGTATGTGTCGGTCAGTGCGAAGTAGAATGCATGCCCTGGTCACTCTAGATGAGCCCGATCAAGCGCTAGCGGCACTTTGTCATCATCTGGACCTCCAGCTCGGCTTTAGTGAACTGCATTTTTTCAGTGTGGACTTTTCAAGACAACGTCAAGGCCTAGGGTCGCTGCTGCTCGAGCGGTGGTTGGCTCTTTTGGCCTCCTCGGGGGTGCACTATGTGGTGACGTATGCTAGTGAGAATGCAATAAGTTGGTACGAAAAACATGGCTTCGTCCATAGAAGGGATATGACTCTGCCAGAGCGCCACATTCGAGGGCGAGTGACGCTGTGCACTGGGGCAAAGCTGATGGAATTGAATCTGCAGAATCATCCGGACCAGCGTCCGAGCATAGAGGAGCTTCGCTTCAGGCTGAAGAGGCTCGCCAGTGTTGTTAGGGAAGGGCAGCCACAACAGCAGCAGAGGCGAAGTTTAGAGCGAGTTGATTCGAATTTGGGAGGGGTGACGGTCACAGTTGATGGAAAAAAAGGATTGCAAATACAGTCTGTTAATGAGGAGGCGATGCTGATCAAAGTGAACGGCAATTGGGTACATGTGAATTACCCAGGATTCGAAATGCATGGTGATGATGATGGCATCGGTGAAGTTCGGGAGCTCAGCCCACCCTTTATGGGAGGAAACAGTGACCATGAAATTGATCGTAAACGGGCAGCGCCGGATGGGGAGGCTTTTTCAGAAGGGAAACGGCGACGGTGCGTGAGGCTGGGAAGGTGATGAACCATGTGTAACATAGTTGAGAAGATGTGGGAAAGGCGTGGTATGAACGGCGCCTTAATGAAGAAGTCTACTGTGTATGTATCATTGATAATATTTGCATTGGTTGTTGCCTTGTCACTCGACTGCAAGCGCTGAATGATTACACCTTGAATTTGGTTTGTTACAAACGCGGGGGGTGATAGTCGCATAGTAGAGATGACGAATGTTGGAGGGAAATATGGTTTGCTTTCCTGATCAGCTGAGCCTGGGAGTTTTCTCGATTTTTGTAGGAGTTTATGTACGAATTGGGGAAAAAGTGGGACAGAAATCAACAAAAATTTCCGCAGAATTCCTCAGAATTTTTACATGAGGAGGTTCTAGGTGATACACTCATGCCCCATATTGTAATAGTCGTTTTTTTCACCTCTAACATGTCCTATGGTGAATCTTCTGAAGCTCCACTAGAACCCAACTCCATCCTCATTGAGGAAGTGCCGCCAAGGCCAGAGTTGTCTCCGCTTTTAAATAGTCGCGTTCTAGCCGTACCGTACCCGCCCCGAGAGATATATAATAAGATGTAAGCATGGTATATAATCGATTGCGTATAGGACCCGAAGTGGAAAAATATGTACATCGTCAACTACATGTGGAAGCAACATCTGTGAATTTTTTTTGAGGAAATTATCATTGGTTTGTCAAACTTGTGTAATTAGTGAGGCAACTACTAGACTCAGATGAGGAAAGCGAACAAGTACTGGGAGCAGTGCTTACGCGGAGTGTTTGCGATCAGGTCCAAGTTCGTCGTATTAGTAGTAGACCTGTCCGATGCTGTACTTATGAGCGAAAATGAGCCTATTACTTTGGAGGTAGCCGTCGAGTGGTATCGATTTCGGCGCGACATACGTATTTTTTGTAGGCGCTGAAAAGTGATGTCGCGGAGGCCTTGGGAGTGGATGCTAAAGTGAAAGTGATCGAAACGATAATGTCGAGTGAGAAGCTTAGCTGAGATCGTCTGGGCATTTTCATACTCAGGTTACACTGGTCTTCTGAGGGCACCCATCGAGACCGACGATGACCTTGCTGATTTGTATGGTGCTGTGCATTGTTGTGAGAATGCGAGCAGTGGTGGAAAGAAAAGAGCATCGAAGGCTGATCTACTGTAAGTGTTGTCGTCTCAATATAGTAGGAGTTTGCTACTCTACGCGACATCTAAAAACGCAATTCTTGTTAGATAGGAGCTTTTCAGCAACACTGGATTTTCACCCGCGATGACAAACTGTTGGAAAATTGTTGCGTTGTCGGTCGCGAAGACACACGTCTTGAATTTACATGGAGTATTACACCACTTCACGTTGAACGGGTGAAACTCCATTGAGTTTTAAGCAAATTTCCTCACCCAAGATCTAAAATAGACGTCTCAGATTAAACTCTGAGGAAAATTCCGAAATTATATTTTCCGTCGATGAAATTTTTCGTTCACTTTTAGAATTCTCCAACTCAGAGATGAATACGAAGTTACTATCGATGGTCACTTGAAAGAGATAGAAATGCTCAAAAGAGAGAAAAGTAAACTTGAGGGGAAATTGAAGACTATGGTGAGCGAATATTTTACATGTCTATAGTAGGCGTTGATTTTTCAGGAGCAGGAAATGGTTGAGCTGACTGGACAGTTGTCACACAAGTTGGAGGCGGCTGAGAAGGACATCACTAAGCGAGTGAAAAGCGAATTCGATGAGAAACTGAAGGCATATGAAAATGAGGTGGCTGAGAAAGATATGAATTGAACTCATCACGTGGCGTTAGGTTGCTGAGAAGGAGAAGAAATTTAAGGCGCAGCTGAAAGAGAAAACACAACAAATTTTGGCCCAACAACAGGAGGTTAATCTCGAACTCTTATTTTCTAATGCGAACGGATTCTTGCTGCTGTAGATGAGTAACTTGAGGAGAGAGTTGGACGATACACGTGAGGAGTTGAGATGCGAAAAGGAGCTCGTGGAGGAGCATTCCCAGACGATTTCGGAAAGAGACGCCCGCATCGGTGAG